CCCCCCAACCTCCCTTATATGATCTAAATTGTGTTGATGGGAGCATAACAACACGTCCATCCATTGTTCAATATCCACTTTTTGTAGATTGCAAAACCGTACCCATCCATGTTTGCAAAGTTGAATAACAAATACATTCGTGCGTCGGTAGCCTTGCAGTAAAACTACCGGACTCGTAATCGTGGGATTGCGGGTTCAGGAGTTTGAACCTCAGCTCGGTCTGACGTTGTGTGTTCCAGGCAAAGGCACTTTGTACGAAATACCCAATTTTGGCTCAGCACTTTCGCGGAGATCGACGTTAAACTTAGATAAGCTATTCGTGTTGATAGGGTCGTTAAACCTAAACCATTTTCACCACATTGATGTCATACTGATTGTTGAAGAATGATTTGTAAATAGCCCATTAGTGTTGATTGCGGCGTTAAACCTATTCCATTTCACCATTGCCCTTGTTCTGCATTTTTCTTAAGTACAAAAAATACTCACGCTTTCTTCACGTCCATGATGAGCAAGGCCGGCACGTGGATGCTCTGTATAAAATCCGGCATCTCGTCCTCCGAGAAAGCCCCCTCCTCCTGTCCCTCCACCTCGGTGAGGAAAGCATTGTCTCCATCCTCCTCATTCTCCTCATCCTTCTCTTCTCCGTTCCCTCCCTTTTCTCCTCCTCCTCCTCCCTCCTCACTGCCACCGGCGCCTTTCTCCGTGTCCCCGGCGTCCTTCTCTGACGGCGACTGACGTAGCACGTAGAACTCGGTACCTCGTGACGTCATCAGCGTCTCCAGAACGGCTTCTTCTATGTCGTAGGGCGGGTCCTGGGGGTGGAAAAAAGGATCGTGTCGTTATGGTGCTTGCCGTTAGTGTGTTTGAAAGAAATAAAGCGTATCTCTTACTACAACTATTATCATGATTAAGACGTGTGAGCCTCTATGTGCGTATGTATTCGTGTGTGTGCGTGCGTGCGTGCGTGTGTGTGTGTGTCCTTGCGTGTGTGCGTGCGTGTGTGTGTGCGTGCGAGCGTGTGCGTGTATGTGTATGTGTTTGTGTTTGAGAACGGTTTCTTCTATGTGTACGGCAGATCCTTACGGTCGGAAAAAAAGGATTATGTCGTTAGTGTGTTTGGAAGAAAAGGATTATGTCGTTAGTGTGTTTGGAAGAAAAGGAAGGAAGAACACCTTATAATAAAAATATATTTTAGAATGTGTACCTGTGTGTATGTGTGTGTGTGTGAGTGTGT